TGCCCTCACCACTTCATGGCTTTCCATAAATCAGATGGATCATTTCCGAAGGCTGTTATGACAATAATAATGATAATAATAATAAAGTGGATGGCTTCAAACCACTGACAGTTGTTTGCCTATCGCACAGTTTGGGAGACGAGAAGTCCAAATGAGGGTATTTGCTGAGTTCGGGGAGAGAAGATGTTTCACGCCTCTTCTAGCCTCTGGTGGCCACGCCGAGCAAGCGTCGGTATTCTTCGTCTAAACTACATCTGCCTCTATTCACATATGCCTATCCTTTCTCTGTGTCCATGGTCATTTCCCGCTCATGTAAGATACCGCTCAGATGGGATTAGGACCCACCCTACTCCAGTATGACTCTTTGCCCAAAGACCCCATTCCCCAAAGGGCCACATTCTTTAGTACAAGAGTTAGAGCTTCAACCTATATTTAGGAAGTCACAATTCAATCTACAATATCATTATTAAAAAGACCTATGCATCTCTCGCTGGGCCTAAGTGAGCAAACGAAAGCAAAAAGCAGCTGGGGTGCTCAGTTCTACCTACACCAAACGGGAAGTTTATCTATTTGTTGTTCACAAATTGAATTATCCTTTTGTTTTATGTCATGCTCTATCTATCTATCTATCTACCTATCTATCTATTTACCTACCTATCTGTCTCTCTCTCTCTCTATTGACCTACCTACCGACCGAGATAGAAAAAGCATGATACATCATGATATAAAACAAGAGTATAATTCGATTCTACCTATGTAGATAAGTATATTGATTAACTTAAGCAAAGGAGGCTTAAAAAGAGAGAGAGAATTTAGGGGCCTGGGAAATTGACCTCCAGGAATTTTGAAAATAAAGGAAAAGTGAAATTGTAAAATCTGCACATAATAGATGGGGAACATAACATCACTTGAATGAAAGAGAAGAGCCGTTAGGCCGGAGTAGGTTGGTCTCGAACTTTCTGGAGCATGTTCATATGAACGAAGACATCACTATTTTAGGGCAAGGAGAATGAAATGACAGGAGACAGAGACTCAAGCTTCAGGGTTGTCCATCCTGGTGCTCGCTAGGGAAAGAACGGTAGCCACGAGGCCTTCAGTCCTTCAAGACAAATGGCAGCCCTGCCTTTTCTAAATGGAAGAGGGAGGCAGAGTGATTTTAACTTGTTTGCCAACTCAGACCCACCATCTGGAACACAGTGTTGAAAACAGAGTTCAGTGAGAAAGAGTTTCATGATTTCTGGCAAGGGTATAGTCTACAAATTTCACCAACCATGGGTTTGGTGACTCAGGTATTACATAGCTTACTGTCTGAAATCCAAGTACTGCCCTAGAGAAAGATTCTCCCTACAGGAAAAGGGTTGCCCCAGGTGTCTAATCTAGCTGATTAGAGTATTTGGTCATCTAAATAGGACACACTTTTACTCTGTATCCTGTATTCATAGCCTTTAAAACACTCTGTAATTATTATAAATAATGCATGTATTATAATGTGTAAATTAGAAATATATTTTCTATGTCTATTGAACATTTTATACCTTTTAATATTTAATAGATGTAGAAATGACATATCAGGAGAAAGATGGGACTTTCTACTCCCAGAGAGAGGTACAGACGTGGAAACCCAAGGAGGCAATTCGACCCTGTCCTACAGGTTCCTTATGACTCAGAATTGACTTGATGACAGCGAGTATAGCCAATATTAAAAATGTTTATTTCATTTTTACTTGTTTTCTATCTACCTTACATGCCAGACTATTACGCCTAGTGAACACTTTATAATTTGGCAAAAGAACACTCAGTTCCTACTCAAGGGCCTCTCTCATAAGAGGTATCTATAAATATGTGTTGGATGAGTGTAAAAACAAACGAAGGAAGAGCAAGATGTATCCATTAATCCTTCCCATTCATCAAACAGTTCTCTAATCCTGAAGGAACTCTCTTATTAGGGAAAGAGAGCGTCCCCATCACACTGCCAGGAGTGTGCCTGGTATGTCTTATAAAATCATAGCTTGAATTCCAGTGACTATCTCATTCTCATGTGTCATTTCATTAGCACAGCTCGTGCGCTACAGGACTGTCCACATCTACACCTGGTAGAGAATGAGTCTCTAAACACTAAGAGTAGAGGGTCAGATTCATATAGCCTCGCCTTTTAACCTTAGGAAAAGGTCCTTTCTCCCACGAGCTTCATTCCATCTACTTACAGTTCCTATCAAACTACCAGCAAAACATTGTATTTGATAACAACACATCGTTCCTTGGGTTTTTAAGTTAAATAAACTCTGCTGGAGCTAAAAATATTTATCTGCATTGACGTTCATCTTTGCTACTTAATTAAATCCATCACCTAGGAAGGCATGCTTTTCAGCCATCTCACTTTCTGGGGCATCAGCATGAAACTGTGAGTGCTGAAATACCAAAATGCCAGTTGTATTTAATGCTTCAGGTGCAAACAAGCCTGTTATATTTGGAACCTCCCACGAAGGTATATATTAGCTGAGAATTGAAAATGACAGCAGAGGAAATTAGATCAGAAGAGCAAAAAAAGCACACAAATCTACATTCCCCACTTGCTTCAGCTCCATGAAGTGCGAGAAAAGAGGGGCTACTTAAAAAACAGTATCCATGACCATCATCAAGATGCCAAGAGAAAGCCCGAATTTGGGGGAATTTATTAACAGATTGATGCAACTGGAATTGGGTTGGGGACAGTACAGTAAGGATGCTCAGCAACCAAAAACAAACAAACAAACAAACAAAAGCCTTTTGTAAGAATATATGCAAGGAGATACTGAGCTCCCAGCCAATTCATTCACGAGCTTGGAGGGTGTCTGAAGTGAACTGATTATATTAATTGCACAAATTCTCTACCCCTCCCTCTCCATATTCATGCAACATCAATTTCCATTCATTAATATAGATAGCAAACACATGACACAGCTGGAGAAATCCCCTGATTGAAGTAACTGCCAAATAGAGGAAACAAATCATTCTGGAAAGAGGAGAAATATTGCTTTAAAAATATAATAACATCCTCAATAAGATCATCCATAATAGAAAGTGTTTATGGTAGAAAGGAAACTTTCAGAAAGTGATAAATACTCTTGGGGAAATCAAACTTTTTTCTTAATGCTAAGTGACAGAAGAGACCTAGTTGAACACAAAATATGCTATTAGGAAGATAAAATTGAGAAAATTTTGAGAACATAGAGGAAAAGAGATAGGAAATGTATACAAAAGGATAAAGTTATAGAAGATTTATCCAGAAGGTTCAACATGAGTTGACTAGATGGTTTCCATAGAAAAGGGGGGGAATGGAATGCAGAGAACACTGAAAGAAATAGTAGACAATGTTTTCCAAACTGAGAAATGAGTCTTCAGATTGTAAAAATAAAAAGAATTTAAGCCAAACCCACTACCATCAAATTGATTCCAATTCACAGCAATCTACATAGGGTTTTTGAGGCTGTAAATCTTTCCAGGAGCAGACAGCCCCACCTTTCTCCTTAGCGGTGGCTGTTGTGGTGCCTAGATGCCATCGAGTTGATTCAGCCCGTAAGAACCCTGCATACAACAGAATGGAGCACGGTCCAGGCCTGCACCAACCTCACCACGGTTATGTTTCAGCCCGTTGTTGAAGCCATTGTCTCCACCCATCTCAATGATAGTGTTCCTCTTCTGTTGACCCTCCACTTTACCAAGCCCGGTGTCCTTTTCCAGGGACTGATAGCTTTTGATAGCGTGCCCAAAATGCGTGAGATAAAGCCTCGCCATTTTCACTTCTAAGGAGTCTGGCTGTACTTCTTCCCAGGCAGATTTATTTGTTCTTCCGGTATCCCTGGTGCTTTCATGATTCTTCGCCACCATAATCCAAGTGCATCAATCCTCCTTTGGTCTTCCTTATGCATTGTTCAATTCTCACATGTGTATGAGGCAACTGGAAATACCCTGGCATAGATCAGGTGCACCTGAGTCCTCAAAGTGATATCCCTGATCTTCCACACTTTAAAAAGATCTTGTGCAGCAAATGTGCCCAGTACAGTCCATCATTTTATTTGTTGATGGCTACCTCCATGAGCACTGATTGTGAAATCCTTGACAGCTTCAATCGTTTCTCTAGTTGTATGTAGGGGGAAGTAAAATACATATTCACACACGTGCCTACACATATCTGAACACAAAACAATCAAACAAAAATGGCAAATGTGACACCAGCAAATGCAGCAGATATGACAAGAATAGCAACAAGAAACATAATATGTCTCAAATTAAGCACACACATTTTTATTAATGATATAAGCACACTTATGTGTGTACATATCAATCTACCACAAAAAATTCCAGATTATGCTAGTGTAAAAGGTGACAGGCAAAGAAAATAGGGATAACCAAAAAATGTGACAAGTTTCTAGAAGGTTCTGAACATATAGATAATAACAAATTCTAAATACTAATAGTATACAAAGGAAAAAAGCCAAATATGAATACATATACACATACCTGTCTATCTATAAACCTAATTACCATATATACTCAAGTATAAGCCAACCCGAATATCAGCCAAGACACATAATTTTACCATAAAAACTGCATAAAAATGTGCTGAGTATATATGGTACATAGAAAATGGCCTATCACAATAAATAGAAATCCATTTGCAACGATCATCTCCAGATGAAACTCATCAACTTCCCAATTCTGGAGTCTTATATAATGTGGATATGATTTTTTTAATCACATGTATAAAAAATCAGGCTAATAAATAAAAGTAAAGTCAATGTATAAAAATAAAGCTAAAGATTCGTTTTAAAAATACAACCCCAAAACTATGCTTGCTCTCACTATATAGGAAGAACTGGTACAAACCATTTCTATTACATTTCCATTTAGTTTAGACTTGTTTGGATAAATGAAAAGCTGTTACTTATGGCTTCTAAGTATTATTTGATTCTTTTTCCCCTCTTTACATCCCTACCCAACTCATCCATTCTCCTCTGTAGACCAGGAGACATGATCACTCTCCTAGAGGATTCCAATGAAGACTGGTGGAAGGTAAGCCTTTTTTTTTTAATGTATTTGAACTTGGGGATCCCATGTTGATTAGTGGTTAGTGTTGGGGGAAAGATGAGGCTTGCTACTTGTGGAAAGAGTTACAGTCTTGGAAACTCATGGGAGCACATGACCCTGTCCGACAGGGTCACCCTGAGATGGCAGCAACTCAATGGCAATGAGGTTGGGATTGGGAACTCTAATTATAGGAAATGCTACAACTGTTGGTGTGTGTCTCCTTTTCCTTTCAGGGGAAAATTCAAGACAGGGTTGGCTTCTTTCCAGCCAACTTTGTTCAAAGAGTGCAGCAAGATGAGAAGGTTTTCAGATGCGTTAGAGCCTTCACTGGGTGCAAGGAACAGGGACAGATAACCCTGAAAGAGAATCAGGTAAGTGAAGCACAGAAACTCGTACAAAGTTTGAACAAATATCACAGTCATTTAACATATGGGGATTCACCTTGGGAAACGATATACTTAATCCAATGCTATTAGTGTACTAGAGTCAAAGCATGCAAAACCAAAATCCTAGGACATTTATTAACAAGAGGAAATGTCCGTAATACCACGGTGGTAGGATGAGGACATCAGGTCCCATGGTTTCGTCTGGGTACTACTGGTCCCTGGTGAGGGCAGCTACTTTAGTCTGCGATTTATACTAGTGCCCACTACTCTGTGGTTCACTCCTCCTTATCTTTTGGAGATACTTTCATGTTTTGTGTCAGCACCTCACGGTTCATAGCATTCGCTTCCAGTCACAAAGATCCCCTGCAAGTCATACTGTTCTGCTTGTTCATTGAAACCCATGACCCCTTCATGTGGCTCCACCAGACATAGATGCAACGTAGAGAATCAGGTCACCATCTCAGGTCTATGCCCTAGATATGATCCTACATTGGATCTGCTAGGTATGTGACACCATCTTGTTCCATTGTCATGTTGAATATAGAGTTCTCTTATGATGCTGTCAATTTTCTGAGCATTGAAGTGTGAACCCCCTGACTCTTTGTATCTTCAAGTTACATGGTTCCTGCTTGTATTAGTCTGGGTACTTTGGAGAAACAAATCCACAGCAACTCATGTACAAGAGAGAGTTTTATATAAAGAAAATGTGCATCACGAAAACATCCCAACCCAATGCTGCCCAAGCCCACAAGTCCAACATTAACCCATTAACCCAACACCAGTCCACAAAGTCCTCCACCTCACAAAACAGAGGCGATGATGCCGACTGCAGGAGGAAAGCTAAGTCAGTGAATGAATAAGCATCTCAGCACTAGCAGGGTTCTCCACACGGCTGCTCCAGCACCCAGGGCTGCTTCGGGATAGGTCCATGTAGCTTCTCCTTGGGGATGTCTTGTAGGAAGTCAATCTTGCAAGCTGAAGCAGGGAACTGCTAAGGCAGCTGCACCCTGGTGCAACCATCACAAAGCAAGAGGCCCGAGAACTAGAAAGGTGAGGCTCACCACCCATTTATCCCTCCGCCTTTCAATTAGCACCACATGTGATTATCGGCCAGGCTGGCACAATTAACTAACTCACTGCTCCTCCATCTGACCCCTGGAAGGTGGGCAGAGACATTCACCGAGAAGGAACAGTTACAGCTCAGTCTTTGTCCTCTTCTCCCTCTTTGCCACCCTCTAGCAGACAGAGGGTCTCCCACTGCCCCTTCTCCTCTGAATGCAACTACCATCATGCCATATCCTGTATCATCACTACACTAAGAGTAAAATAATATGCACAGGACAGTTTTCTCACGATGTGTATGGGAAGACTTTAGAAACTGAAGATCCATTTTCCCACCCAATAAAGTCTTACAATGAATGTCATTTTTTAAAAGCTGTATGTTGTTCCTTTTCGGTATGTATTTATGGCTATAATAATTCTAATGCTCCTCATGGCAGTGAGAATCTAGGGTATCTCACCATACGAAGAATTACAAAATGAAAAACTCCATTAGGTATTTAACATTACCACTCTCTGCTCAACAGAATTATCCAAAGCACATCGAGAATGACTCTGTTGGAGTTGTCTTCAAAGGTATTTACTAATCCCCATTAGGAAATCCATCATTACTTTACATCAAATATGTAATTTAAAAAAAGTTTCACCCAAATTGATCAACTAATTTGTATGCTATAGTTCCCACCAAATGACTTTTTATCTTTTTTTTCAAAATAACCACTAAAACCTCAAAGAATAAAGTTTTAACCTTGCAACTATTCACAGGAATCACTGCAAGAAAAAAATTAAAGAAAATTTGCAATTTAAAGGAAAAGTTTTATAAAACAAAATGGAAATGAGAAACCAGTCATTTTGAATGTTATTTCCCCTGGATTGTTAACCCAGAGGGGGAGTCAGCTCAGTGACATTGGCATTTTCCTAAATCCCCAGATAAATTGTTCCACTCATTTTAGATGGTGATATGGCTCCATGTATTAAGAGCCATAAAAGTGCTTACTCCCATGAATGCAGGGGGCGATCTTATGCAAAAAGGCATCATCACAATGAGGTTCATAATTCAAGTATAGGAATAACTACACAGCAACAGAGTTCCTAAATCAACAAAACACTTTCCTCGCTGGAATGTGTTAGACAGCAAGGGCAAGTTCGATGGTGTTCAGATGATAGACTATTGCAATCCAGACCCAGATCCCCGTCACCGCCCCCCCACCCACCCACCCACCCCAGGTAAACACAATGGGCGAGATGCAAATGGAGTCTACAGACTTGATTTTATTACGGGACCCAGACAGAGCATCTGACCTGACACTGAGTCCTAAAAGTCCTCCTGACCTCAACCCTACCCTTGTCAACCCTAACAGTCTTTCTGCTCCTACCACACCAAGATGGTCCCCGGAGGAAACACTAGGTAGAAACAGAGAAAGCTTTCGTGCTATTTTGTTTCTAGATACTCGCAAGTTGGTTGTGACCCCTAGTAATCTTATGTATAACAGGATGATGATTACTCTTCATTGTTTTATAATGTCATACACGCATATTATTATATGTTTATACAGCTTATATACAAGGGGACTTCAAAAAGTTCATGAAAAAAAGTCCACTATCTTTCATTTCGTTTTTCCATGAACATTTTGAAAGCTTTGTACTTACAACGTCGTATCTGAGATCTCATAGCTGCCCATAAATTTCTCACATTGATGAGTGCTATTGTATAAATAAGGAAATAAAATCTTCATAGAGGTTGTTCCTTGTTCAAGAGGCAAAAACATAGGAAGGAAGGAGGGAGTCTGAGGAGAAAGGGGCAGAGGTCTTCAGATACTATGTTTCCATCTTCAATGAGAGTTTTACAAGTAACCAAAGGATATATTAAATATTGATAATGTAATGTAGTGAAACAATATAAATTGGAGAAAGAAAGCATTAAGAAGGTTTCTTTAAGGGCTTTCCTTTCTTCTCCATCTAAATGACTTCCATAATAGTTTCTAAAAATGTATTAAGTAAAGTTTAAAGTATTCAATCTTAGCTTTGGGATCCAATCCTATAAAGGTAAACAGGGTTGCCAGGGTGTGGTTTTTTTTTTGTGGTCTCTGCTTTGCATTTGCACGCATACGCAAGTACCCCCACCCTCATGAGGACTGCAGCGTATCTAACAATTACTAGATATAATCTCAGTATCTAATCACAGTAAGTACTGCTTATGTAAATGCAAGTACCCTCAGAGGTGTTTGCCATCTAATGGGTTTTTATTATTAAAATGTCTAATATCTTTATGAAATTGGGTCACCGCACTCTATGATTTCACCCTGGTTTTTACATCTTATTTGTTTAGCTTTGATTACTTGAAACTGGTATTTTTCCCTTTTATAAAGGTAGGGGCGCTGGTGGTGTAGTGGGTTGTGCATGGGCCTGTTAACAGCAAGACTAGCGCTTGGAAACCTCCAGCCGCTTCTTGGGGCAAAGATGAGGCTACCGCTTACGTAAAGCGTGACGGTCTGGGCAGCCCACAAGGGCAGTTCTAGCTTGCATAGCGGGTCTAGATCAGTAAGAATCAACTCAATGGCAGTGAGTGAGCGCTTACAGGATACATTTTCTAACTTACACTTTATAACTTATACAGCCCCTTCGCCTTACTGATCAGTAGCAATCAATGTGCCGGCTTGAAGTATGCCTTGCCTAAGGTGTCTGGATCCTTTCCATGCAAAGTTGCTTATTCTCCCCTCCCGGGAGCTGGTGTTGCCCAGCTCATTGTTTATCAACATGCTCCCCAAAGAGGTAAAGCAAAGGCCAAGGTCACTCTATGAGAGTTAGCCTCTTTAAATGGCAGCACACCGGGGGAACCTTACTGTTCCCTCATTCCTGAAAAACTGCACACACTCCTCTGTCCCCCATAAAACTACATGCTACACTTTTTGCATTGTGATGATCTGTTTGAGGATCTGTTCCTTGGCAGACAATGTTATCTCCAGCCCTGGTTGGAGATAAAAAGGAAAGAATGAATTAAGTGCCATGGGCCCTGTTACAAAGGTAGTTATTATAAGTATGACAATCATCAGTCATTATTTTATACTGTCATACATGAATATTATTTTACGTTTATAAAGCCTATTGTATATTAGGGGACTTCAAATAAGAAAGTCCATTATGTTTTCATTTCATTTTTATATGAGCTTTTCTGAAGCCATTGTACTTTCAACGTTATATTTGAGATCTCCTTGCTGCCCACAAAGAGACTGTTCAATCACACACATGCAGAAGTTGCACGTCGACTAAGGAAGGCTGAAGAAACTCCGTGCATTTGAATTGTTGCCTTGGGGAAAGTACCTGGGCTGACACACGAACAGACACAGCTGTCTTGAAAGAAGTGCAGCCAGAATGCTCGTCAGTGACAAGGATGGGGAGACTTTATCTCGCAGACCCTAGACATGTTGTCAGGAGAGAGCAGTCCCAGGAGAACAGCATGCTTGGTAAAGTGGAGGGGCGCTGAAAAAGAGGAAGACCTTGGCAAGATAGGCTGGCACAGGAGCGGCAATGAGGGGCTCGAACATAGGAATAACTGGGGAATAACTGTGAGCATGGCACAGGGCAAGGTGACATTTCATTCTCTTGTACACAGTCATGGAGAGTAGGAACGGATTCAATGGTGCCTACCAACCACAGTGCCCATGAATTTTCTTCATTATCGATGATTGTTATTTTATAAAGACGGAAACACAGACCTATAGATGTTGTGCCTTGGTCAAGGGGCAAAAATCTACAAAGTGGCCAAACTGAGAGTCAAACATAGGTCTTCAAACCCCAAGGCAACGCTTACCACTGAGTCCCTGTCCCTTGATAAAATGGAATGGAATGGAATGGAATGGGCTGAAGAGGGAAGGACCATTTACGGAGCTTGACTTCCAAGTGTCACTGAAGACATGGGTCTGTCC